TAGCAAGGCTCAAAGTCTGAAACTTCAGATATGTATTACAGCCTATAACATTGGGTGGATGGGCAAAAGCTTGACATTTGCTTGTGGAACAGCTGCATTGACAAGGTAATACAGACACTGCCAGTGGATAATATCAGACTTTTGAACGACAGCAGTGAAAAACTATATTTCACGATGTTTGTGGGAATGAATCTGGTCCTTCTGGGTATTAAGTAGGTCCAGTGTTTGAATTGAAGAGCTAGATTTAGACTCATTCTTTTGACACTGTCTCCCACAGCATCATCATTTGGAAATCAAGTTAGGACAAGACAGACAAGCAGCCTGTAAGTGAGCTGCAAATAAGTGGCTCAATCTCCCTATCCTGGGTGGTTTTCAAGACTTGGCTAGAAAAAAACATCCATTGGCCTGATCTTCCCCCTATGAACAAGACGTTTGACTACATGACCTGCAGAAGTCCCTTACCACCAATGTTTCCACCATTCTGTGATTTCTCAGTGAAGAAGCAGCAGCAGCTCCAAAAGCTTCTCCACACTGCTGATTTGACTAAGGCACAACAGAGAAGTACAGGTCTTCAGTAGGGGTACAAGACCACCTCTCACTTTTTTTCACATTCTTAAGATATAATTAGACCATTACTGTAATATTTATTAAACATGACTTCACAAGATCAACATTATGTAGCAGAAGAAATACAGAAATGCAGAGAAGCCTTCACTAATGGCATTCTGCTGCATAAGAAAAACTAAAACCAAAGTAAGATACAAAATGCCGTTCATAAAAATGACAGCTTCATTTACCAGATCCTCACTAAAGGGATCCATAGACCCTTTGATCAGCTACTTCAAGTGCTCCTTTATAAAGGAACAAAAGAGCGGTTGTGTCTATTTGCATTGTTGACTTGATGTATTTAAAATAAAAAAGACCAATTTAGTTCAATCAAATGAAGGCAACCAGCTGTCAAAGAACTTAACCACATTAAAATCAGTAGGCAGACTATATGCCAGTTAAAACCTTGAAACTACTTCTAGAAATGAACTAATTATTTTCTCTCCCTCCCCAATTCTAGGGCAAGCTTTCACAGTAGACTCCTAGATTTTAGAAATCAAAATCTCTTCAACTGATTGATATGCTACTAAGTCTCTCAATAAATTGTTGCAGTGTTAGCTACCTTCATCCTCTCATCTCCAAGGTCAGGGCAGCTACAGTGAATGATATCACATGACAAGACTGCATTTCAGGGATTTTTTGATTCATAATCCTTACCCCAAAGGGAAAAAAAAACCCCAAAAGCATAATGAAATTAATCTACTTCCTTCTATGAGCTTTACTCATGTTCAGAGATTAGCTGCAAATATGTGGATGCCTGAAATCTTCTGTTCTATTCCCATCATATAATTTTGAGTTTGAAAACCTTTAGAAGCATCAGACTAAAGGGGCTGCTTCTTTTCACCTAACTGACCTGTGCTACAGCAGTGCATGACCTGAAGCTATCAGAGCCAACGCTGGGTGACCTGACAGTAAAATCAAGAAATAATGATAATTACAGATCACAGTTGCCAGTACAGACATATCTTTAACGCTGTTTGAAACGCAGCCATTAAAGGATGGTTAGTATTAGGTCATGAAATTAAACATTTTTTGATAAAAGTTTAACATAGCAATAAGCGTTATTTAGATTCAGAGACCATCTGTTTTAATCTTACTAATGTGCTAATATTTAACAAAAAAATCAGTGCATGAAAAAGATATCCACAGGCCCTGGTCTGCTACTCCTCTCTATCTAAACTCTCCTGCATGCCAGATGGCTGCTAATTGCCAAAAGAGACAAATGTGCATTAATGCAAATTTTGTGAGCATTATCTAGTATCTGTTTCCCTCCTTTTAAAACATTACCCATGCATTTTGATTCACCCACTCCCCAAATATCTTCCCAGTGTCATGCTAGATCACAGTATCACCACTCAGAATACTCTACCTTCTTGCAGCATTTCTTCCACACTAAACATCTGTTAGGCTAGTGACATCACCAGAACATTTGTCACAGATCCTGATACCGCTATAAACATGCTTCACCCTGCATTATCTAAATGGTATCATCTTACAATAAAAACAACTATATTAAATGTCATTTTTATACTGTTCTATCTAGAACAGGTTTTTATATGCTTCTCACTGCAAATGAATTATGTCCAAGATATGCTCTAAAACTCTTCCTATTTCATTGTATATGAGCACTTTATCCCTCATACTGTGGAGACTCAAGCACAAGCTGATCTAGAAATACACAGACACAGAAACATGTAAGAACACGATGTTGCAAAGGACAAGTTTAGACTGCTGCAATCACAAGAAATATTGTCACGTGTTTATTAAGCTGATCGTGTTCCAAACTAAAACTTAACCTTACAGAGCCTGAGGAGGCGGTGGTGGTGGTTGGATTTGGGTTTTGTTTTCCTCTTCTTATCCCAGTGTTCCACATTTGTGATTAATTTAATCAAGACTGCTGGGCAAGAACTCACCAGGGCTTTTTACGAAATAAACTTCTACTTCTCTGTCTCTCTCTTGGAAACACCTACACCCACTATTTCATCTTAGGATATCTACCTTTCTTGAGGTTCACTGGATAGGTCTTTATCTGGTCACCTACTATTCTCATGTTCATCTCCACTATTTTATAGTAATTCTAGTACAGGAACTCTTGTTACTAGACCTTAAGTCCAAGTACAAAGATCTGCAGGATCATTTTTGTTCCACTTTAGATGATGAATGGGATGGCACATTGCTCTTTTAAGAGATGCATCCCAGCACATGCAGGTCAAGAAGAAAGTAGGCAAGATGCCCTTGAGCAACTTTATTTTCTTTTTCCTTTGTCATGAACCGTCCCCAGAGAGAAAAGTGTTGTGCATGCAGTAGCTCATTATAACATGGCATAAGCCATAAAACTGTCCCAAATGGAACTCAAACTACTCTGAAATGCTGCCCATGTTACACAAGAAGTGTGCTTTGCACTTTAATTAAAGTCTTTCATACTTCACTATTTAGTTTTCCCTCAGCTCTTACAGCAAGGGGCTCTAGGCTTCATGCAGCTGCAACTCTTTTCCCAGACATGATACGGCCAGACTGGGGATAAGAATCTGATCCAGCAATTTGTTGCCACAGGGTTATGCTTCCAACTATAATGAGAAATGAACCACAGAGTGTAGCAATATCAATTAGCACAGTACATCATCTAAGTAAGGCAGGCTGCTCCTGCTCTAGCCTAGAAGCAGCAGTGAGGTGCACATAAAACCACACTACTCTTTAAGCAATGACTTTTCTTCCTCATAGCTCATCCTGGAAAGCAGAACGATCATGACATGATGGCCAGCGAGATTGAAAAGGGAGCAGAAGATACATAATACATGGTTAGAAAGCACATGCACTACTAGTTGGAATAAAAGACTGTTGAGAGCTGCTTTTTTCTGAACATTATGAGCCACCTACGTCATACTGTTAATTTCCCTGTGTTTTCCAAATGAGAATTTGGAATTTGTAACCCAGACAACTGAGGGCAATGTTCTATTGTGAGGGCTGGTCCAACATGTGAAATTCCTGTTCCATGGAAAAAAAATAATCAGAAGTTTCACTTTGCTTTTGGCTCCAAATTAGAACTTCTAAAATACTCCAGACCAAAATGGTACTGGTGAGGAGGACCAGCCAGAAGAAGAGGAAACAGACTGAAGCTGCTTCAAGCTTAAACTAAACATCTTTATAAAATCAGATTTCCTTTTGATAATGACTTGGATTTGACAATATTGTAATATGACATGATCTAGTAAAACTTCAGACATGCAGACCTGCATGTAACTGCATCATTTTGAAGAAAAAAGCCAAGTATTTTTAATTACAGAAGGAAACTAGGACATACACTGATGTTTTAAGCAGACACAAGCAATGTAGGTAATACTCCCCTGCAACTTAAACACATTGTTGGAAACAGCTACAGTCCTGTTGCGGATAAGGGAGGGAAGGGAAAAGCATTCTCTCTTCCATCGCATCACACAATAGATACAACTCATCAGCTGTGCTATAAGAAAAGGCTACAGTTTCCTCTGTTCTTCCAGCCATAAAAGCTACCCCACTGTACCATAAAAATATAACAAAGAAAAAAAATCAGACTGTAAAAATCAAATGAAAAGGCCATGTCATGTCAGAAGGCTGGACACCAGGGGCATCCTTTGGAAAGGCTTTTCAAAAAGGAGTGGAAGAGCCAGTGTTAGCTGGTCTGCTCTATCACTTTACTTCATTAAAATCCCATTATCCAACACAGGATATGGCTGAGATCCTATTCCCTGGTGGAGAGTTGAAAGGGAGAGCTTAAAAATAAGGCAAAAGAGAATGAGACTGTTTTTAAAAACAAGAGGAGAAGAAGGAGAACTACAGAACCTAAAGGGAAGATGTGGCCTTGCAAATCAGTATCTGAGAAGTTCATGGGAATTGCTGATGGAAATTCTAAATCCAAAATGTTTGTGCACATGCCTGTTTTGTTTACAACCCATTTGTCTGTTTCTCTCTGTATTAAGCCCTTAGGTATGATGGTTATGAGTTTAATGGAATAAATAATAAAGTGTTGCTATTCTTGACTGAACCAAGAATTATTTTTCTTGTTACAGAAGCAAACAATCCAAAGAAGCAAAAGTCGTAAGAGCTTCTTGTCTTAAACCACAGTTTTACCAAACAACCCTGTATGTGATACATAAAGAAGCCTTTGGATTTGAAGTGTGCAGAATTACAGTTTAATAAGCCCCGTTAATTCCTTGGAAAATTTTGCCCGTAAGGAATATAAAAACATTACCCTTAAGATAATTATTTTGGTATGTCATTACTGTTACCAAAACAGAGAAGTAGAAGAATGGCATTTTATTTTTCTGGACGATTTCCTAGTTCATCCCAAACAAGGAAAAAATTAAGAAAAAAAAAGGAAAAGAAGGGAAGAATAAATACAGAAACATGGTTCTTACCCTGAAGAGCGGCAGTCTGGTTTATTTCTTTCAGAGCGATCTGTGAGAAAGGAGGCATAATATCAGCACAAAAGTTGGATGTTCTTTAGCAATACTAGTACAGAAGTCTTAAAAGAACTGTGACACTATATGACTAGCAAAACCAAAAGCTAATTCTGTCATAAAACTGTTTTTCTGCACTGGACTACTCTGAGACGATGTAAAATTACTGCAAGTTTAACGTTTGTTAAAGTTCCTCTAGTCAAAACACAGTGTATGTAATGTTTTGTATTAATGCTTTGGAAGCTTCCCCTCCCTTTAGCTGAAATGAATAGGACTTTAGTTCAGGGTAAAAATAAGGAGAGGGAAGAGGAAAAAAGGAAAAACCACAGATTACTCAGCGCAAAAAAATCATTCCATGAATCACGGCTGGCAGAGTTCCTGACAGGATGGGAATAAAATCAGCAGTTGGTTGCAGCAACATCTGCAAATACACTGAATCCAGTGCAGCCCCATCATTAACTCTTCAGTTTCTGGGTGCTCTAGATACTGATCCTTTCTGTGCTTTTAGAAAGGGTTTTGTTTATCCTCCATTTCAATTAGCTTATTTGCACCGATGAGATTGACCTGCAAATAAAAATCTAAACAATACAATCACATCAACTCAAACTTATTTTGATGAACAATTTATCAGCTGCTAAAGCCATCTCTAGATACATTTCGAAGTCTTATTTTTGAAGGCTCTGATATGCAAAGTATAATACACTTCTCGTAAGAGTTAAATTATCATGCAAGTATTACAAAATAACCACTCTATTGTGTTATTAGAGTTCACATATTATCACTTACATTGTAAGTCTAGAATATCTCTTATAACATGAATGTTTGAACTACCTGAAAGAAGCAATTGTGATTTGTGTTCCCCTAAAACACATATATGTTAAAATCAGAGGGAATTTTAATAATTTATTATGGAAAGATCCACCATGCAATTAGAAGGATACACTTACAGCTATATATAACCTCCCTTGACAGTGGTAATTTTGCTTCTGATTCCATCTGTGTGTATTTTAAACAGAAGGCTATTTTTCTTGTGTTAGTAAACACTTCACTAAAAAACTTGTCATTACAGAAGAGTAAGTCTTCCTAAAAAAAAATTTAAAAAGTCAGATTGAATTTTTAAGCTTAAAGCTCTTGCCTCTGAAATAAAATTTCTTCTCTTAACACACATTTATTTCTGTAGTTTTATTTCATGTACAGAAGAAATATTTTCCTCTCCACATTTTAAGTGCTCATTTGATTATGTTTTTATCAAAGCAGTAAAAAATTACTGCATATCAACACTGCTCAAAGAAGTATCTAATGCTTTTTCTATTCATAGGTGTTCCTACTGAGCTGTCATAGCCACACAATGTATAATTTATTGTGTTTCTGACTCACAGTGATCTCCATCACACCATGCACTATGCTGATAGCTGGAAACAGGATGGTACAGCTCAAACCAGAGTTACAGCAACAGTTGTTCAAAGACACCCAGAAGGGTTCCTTCCATCCTCATAGTTTGTTCATGTAGCTTCCTTACCTGTGAGCATTTTAGAAAACTAGGCAGGACTTCCTACTGAAATCTGTTTGCTATGTGTGGCTTGTTACCAGTGCTCCCTGTTACATATGCAGCCACTTCTAAAGTTACATATCTTCCCAATTCTAAAACATTGTGTGAATAAAACAGTGAGAAGGAAGAAAAGAAGTCAGAGCACATGTAAATATAGCATCTGGGAGCTTTCCCCCTCAGCCCACATCCAGTTGGTAGATCCACCACTGCTTGGCCACACTGCCACAACCTGCTCGTTCCGGAAGTCAATGCAATTCCCTTTTCCTTTTTGTTTAATAGAAATGTTGAAATGGAAAACATTACCTTTGTTTTCAGATATTTTATTTACCACTAAACATAGTGAATGCACGTCAGCCACATGTACACTGGTCTTACGAAAAAGAACAAAGGCAAATAAAATTATATAAGCATGCAGTTAACATTTTGAAGTAGAAATAAAACTGCTCCTGTTTAAGGTTATTGTGAGCTTAATCTTTTAAAATTGATTATCAAATGTAACAAGAGACTCAAAGAGCTGAATGTTTCAATTTTGTGCTTAAATTCTGCAATTCTAGATGCTGGCAATGCATGAGCACCAATTCAAGTAATGTCACACACCTCTTGAATATGAAAGCCCAGAAGAAACAGGCTCACACCAGAGACATTGTTTTTCTCTGTTTATTTTGCAAGCTTCTTCAAAGTATCTTGTTGCTAAGAATGACTTCGACTGAAAAGTGTGCTCTCACTAGAAAAAAATTTAAGTATAAACATTTAATGCTGTTGAGAAATGAGTGGAAAGTTAACACCCGTTCTGCTGTTTCAAACTACTGGGGAGCTTCCAATGCAGTTACCTCTCAAAGTAGAACTTCCTCCCTCCTCTTGCCCCCATCCCACAGTTTTTAAAAGATGAACTGACTGAAGGGAGCAAAGAGGGGCACATAGCATTTCCATTTCTGGGAAATACTGTATTTTTTTATCTTAATTATGGGTCCTGAATTGAGCAGCCACCAGAGGGAGCAGGATATCATAATACTCTTCAGGAAAACATGTAGTTATGTCCATCTCTGTTAGATTTCGCCCCTGACAGCACAGCAGTGGCTTCATAATCAGAAGTAACAAGATGCTTGTAACAACATTTCTGTAACAATAGCAATCCTCTAGATAAACCAAGCAATGGGAAAGTGGACTTTTACACAGTGCTGGCAACACGGAAGTACAAAATATACAGAGAAGCCATATTCTCACAATAGGCAACTGTCGAAAAAGGTTATGCGCCTTGTCCTAACCTGAATGCATTAATCCCCAACGAGCATACTTTTGTAAGCCTCCAGGCCTCACCAAATGTAGATGCTATGATTGATGCAGCAACTTTACAAGGCATCATGTAGAAATGCAATGGATCCTACTATATGAGTATTTTGGTACCATGTGTTGACTTTTACCCAACAGTCCCTGTTAGCCAACTGCATCAGGTCAAGAGCCTCACATTTTTCCATTTAAAATTTCTCCATTTCAAATTCATTCAAACTAAACTGTGCATTAGTGTGGAAAAGATCTGCATTTGTGCAGGATTTCTAACACTAGTTGCTTTATTCGCACTGAGATAAGCAGTAACTGCCATCAATACTGCAATCTTTTTGTTTTCCATCCTATTAAGGCACACTGTGGCTCGAAGTAACTCTTTTTTTTATAGCACTTCTTTCAGGTAAGGAGTCAGAACAATGCAAATTAATTCCACTGCATAGAATCTACTATAAATTTCACTCAATTCTATTAGGAACTGATATACAACAAAACCCATAAAACTGAGCATTTATTTATGTATTTTAGCATTACACCACCAGAGTCCCTTATCTGTTGTTTAAAAGGCAGAAGGTGTTTCACGCGCCTGTCTATACATTGCTATTGGCTAAGCTAAGTTTTACACACATATCTCTACAACAGCAGGGTGCATGCCTTGTGATAAGCGGTGCATTCCTTGTGGCCAGCAAGCTCCTGTTTCAGCGTTCTGCTTACATTTCTTCGACTCCAGGCCTCCCCAGCTCAGCTGAGTCAGAAAGAGTTCAAGGCTGTCTCACTCAGCTCTAATCCTGGGCTGTGCAGGCCCTCGTGAGAACAACCATTGCTCCACAAGAAGGTTCAAGGGCAGATTAATAAGCAGCTTGGAAGACACCTTCTTCATTTAGTTTATGTATAGCTTTCCCTTTACTCCAAACGGCCACAAAACCAGGACACACTCAAATTTGTAATTGTAAAGATAGTTTTTATACTTGCTTTAAATTCTACAGCATGCTGCTGAACTCCGGAGCAGCACATTGCAGGGAAAAAAAACAAAACATTATAATCCCCCCAAATGAAATTACACTTGTCTGTCACTTTTAATACTAAACAGCACCCCAGACTTGTAAGCACAAAGCACCCCTGCAGTTTTTTATACTTGGAGTAATGTTTTTTTCCCCACTCTTAAGAACAACTTATAGATGGCTCTCAGTGGGAGGACCCCAACACGCACCTAAGAATGCATTCAGCGTCTGTGGTGGAGTATTGTTCTTGAAGCCTAGTGACCAAAAACTTGTAATTATCCAAAGACCACATTCTTTAACTTGCTGAAGAGATTAACTACAGTCACCTTTAAAGCCTTCTGTGCACTTTTACAATATATAAGCAAAAAAAAATATTACTGGACAACAGATGACACATTTGCCATTGCTACATTTGCTGCTGATTTGGTTCTGTGAGCCTAAATTTCCAACCCCTCATTCTTCCTCCTATGTTACTCCTTCATTGCAACAACAAAAGTATGCATGCATCAGTGTGAACATACATGCCAGCTTAAGAGTGGGGCTGATTGCAGAAACAAGAGAGAAAGTAAACAGACTGTGTAAGCTCTCACCACTTCCCAAAAAGGTTCATATTATAAGAACCTAGACCAGACTCGGCACAGGGAACTGGTCTTGTTCTCGAGCCATGAATGATAAACAAAATAGATACCCAATCAAGTATAGGCAGATATGCATGTTACCACACTTGTACCTTCTACCAGACTTTTTTTAAGAGGGAAATTTAGGATACAGTTCTTTCTAAAGCTCTTTTTGCAAGAAATGAGCAAATTCTGTAAGTACAAACCCCCACATCTTCATACAAGACATCCCAGCGATTAGTGCAATATAATTCTTAGATTATGTACTTCAGGTACAAGAAGACATAAATACCTGCACACCATCATGATCACAGAAGGAGCAACTCAAGACAAGCCTTAATACTTTTCTATTTTTATACTTTCATGAGAAAAACACCAATTCACTCAAACCTTCTGACACAAAGGGTTTATAATCACAAAATCCCTTTCTTCCTAGGCTTCTCAGAAATGTTAGGTCTATGTTTCTAAAAAACATTTCTCTGATGTTGCTAACAGCCAGTAAAACGAAATTAACCATTCAGGAGCATGGTATTATTTTTTTCTTCCCAAA